AATTTTACTTAGTAACTCAGCATTTCTGGGGTCAGATGAAGAATGTATGATGAGAAAGGAGATGGCAGCATTATGGATGAAGGTCTTCTACCGTTCAAGAAGTGAGCATTACGAGGGGCCACCAGAGTTCTCCGTGACTCTATTTTAGTGTCAAGAAGTCAGGACTCAGGGAAGCAAAATAACCAGCCAGGTTATACCACTAATTAGTGACAGTCTTGGACTCAAATCAGAGCAGACTGATTTGCCCCAGTGTCCTCAGCTCGTAACATTATACTATAGTAGTTATATTTTCCATATATATAAAAAAACCAGCTGAATAATGTTAATGTGAAAAATGTTTGAAGATACAATACTTTATAATATCTGAAACGGAATCACAGTCCTTAGTGTATTTTTGTTGTTTGATCACATTAGTTTCCTGCCAGTCCTAACGCTCACTTATGGATTGCCATTGAGTTGAAACTGACTCCTAGCTGACCCCTGGCAGGTTTCTGAGACTGTAACCCTAATAGAAGGAGATTGGTTGATTCACACCACCAGAAAAGCACAGCCTTTCTGTAGACTACAGCACCAGAGGCTCAGACATAAAGGAATCAATTTTATATGGAGATAGAAAAAAAAAATGAAGTGTATGTTTGCAACCAGAAGCACCAAGGGCAGGTCTAGGAAATAGAAGAGAAGAAATGATAGGAGAGGTTAAGAGCTGTTGAAGAACATGCAAGTGAACGTACCTCCTTAAAAATGAGAGCTACCGTTGGAACTTCCAGTGACAGAGGAGAAAATGGAAACAAAAACTCTAGAACCAGAAAGCTGGCTCCTTCCTAAAGAAGAGCGATACAGAAGAGGGACGGAGGAGGAGGACAGGACTCTCACGTGGGTAACAGAATGAACAGAAGTACCATTCCACCTTGGGCAAAATCAGCCAACTGTAATGATGCTCCCAGATTCCTCTTTATTCTTTTACTATGTAGATATTTTGATCATAAAGTGTATCTTGCTCTGTAAGTTAGTTAAGCAAACTAGTGTTTGTGGTGTGTTGAAGTCAAGATGATGGAGGGAAGGATCAACAAACTGTGGCTTGTTGATCAAATCTGGGGCCCACCTGTTTTTGTATTTTGAATAGTTCCATGAATTAAGAATGGTTTTACAGTTTTCTCAGTTGTCCTACTTATAATATAACTTACATTTATTACCTATTTATGAGTATGTTATGTTTTAGTAATCATTGTGGTGTATTTTAGTTTATTTAATCTTGTTGGTAAAACTAACATTGAGAACTGACAGAGCCAACCACTTTATCAACCTTACTTTACAGTTTATGTGTGTTCTTGGTTAAGACTATACCAAGCTTATTTAGAAGATATTTTCTTCTTTTACTTTATAGTGATAAAATTAGAGTGATTTAGTGACTTGAGTGTTCACCAATGAGGCACTAAGTCCTAATAGTTAAATGCACACACTCCTGATATAAACTGTTTAAGATTCTAATTTTTTTTTAAGATTCTAATCTTACTATGTTATCTACCCTTGCTATTTTAGCCTAGGCAAATTGTTTTGCACATTATCTGTAAATTGGAAATTAATAGTGTTTGCTTCGTAATATTGCATTGGGAAAAGCATGTTGCTAGGAGAGGCTAGTCATTGGAGAACATAATTCTTGGAAAGGTAGAGGGAGAGCAAAGGAAAGGAAGACCTTCAACCAGGTAGATTGACAGAGTGACTGCAGCTATGGGCTTGAGTGTGTCAGAGATTGTGAGGATGGCACAGGACAGGACAAGGTTCAAAGGTGTTGTTCACACGGTCCTTATGAGTTTATTTAACTCACCGGCATCTAACAACAACAAAGTTTAGAATTCTGAAAGGGAATTATAAAAAAAATTAAAATATTACTCAATTTGTATACATATATTTGTCAAAGTTCGTATAATAATATATGTGCATTTCATTGTGTCTAAATTTTGCCTCACTGTGAAGAATTTTAAATAAAACCAGTGTTTGGAGATAGAAGAGAAACACTTAAGTGCTTCAATAGAAAAATACTCTAAGGTGTGAATAATAATTGTACTTATTATAGTAAGAATCCTTTTTTCCCCCCTTTTTAGCAGATAACCATTGTTGTCTATATTCTTGGCAAGTTATTGTTGTTTTCCTGATTGTTGCTACCTCCTAACCACAAGCTGGATAAAAAGATCTTGCATAATCTTTTTTCCTCAAAGCAGATTCATCTTGTCTCCCTTCCATTTGCCTTTTGCTTACAATTCTCTTTTCTCATCTGTTGACAAGAAAAAGAAAATCGAGTTAGGGGGGAATATACATCCTCTGTGTTCTCTTGGAATTTGTCACATTTTAAGATTCAATCATTCATAAATTGTTTCTTGAGTAGTAGACTATTCACATTATTGGTTGTGATCACCTTTGGAAACTTGTAAACTAGCAGAGCTTTTATTTTAAACATTATAGACCATTTGTAATTCTATGGATTGAATGGATATATTTCAGCACTTTGCTGCGGGTGACAGTAGATGATGTCAGATTAAATTTAAATTGATCTTCTCTCAATGTTATCTCTGGTACATGTGCAATTACTCCAGCACCAGAAAACCTTTCAGAGGCGTTCTGTCAATACAGCTACCTGACAGCCATTTGTATTTGTAAACTGTGCATTTGGCACCTGCTGGTCTCTGTTGCACTGGAGCTAGTGGGGAGCCAGAATGCGCAGACAATGAAGTTACTGGTTAGTCCATCTCAGTGGGAATTATTGAAGGGAGGAAGCAGCACTTGCAGAGCCTCTAGAGAGGAGAAAAAGAAAACCCGGTAATATTAACACAAGTCAGCTATTTTTTTACTACCAAAAATAATTTTTAAAAGCCAATTTTACCCTACCCAGGAAATTAAGGCATTTGTGTGTCTGTATTTTATTTTTTTGTAACAGGAAGAACAAAAGTCTTCTACTTAAAATATATATGAAATTAAAACAAAGTCTCAATAGAAGACCATTTCTAGAAACAGGAATATAAATAAAACCCACACCAAAGCTTTATTTTCTAAAGAAATGTAAATTAAAATACATGTCTTTTACTTATCAAATTAGGGTAGGGAAGCTATTGATTTTTTTTAAAAAAACAACTCTAACAAATGTACTGGAAAGACTTGAAGGAATCAACAACAATGACAGTAATTAACTGATGTTTTTGATGAATAATTTGTCAAATTTTTTCACAAGTTCCTATTCTTTTACCCAGTAAGCTTACTCTTTTGGATCTGCTCCGGGAAATGACAATGGAGAAAACCTGATGCACAAGTTGCTTTTGCTTAGTAAAAGCAAAAGGTCTATTCTGCTATAAAGCACGCCTCTTCGACAAATTAGTTAATGAATGAGTGGGGGGGGGGGTAACACCTCATTATTACGGCGATGATGCCTCATTACCTCCTGCATCATGGAAGGAGTGATGCGTAAGCTGGTGTGTCATTGCCCTTGTACTGTTTGGAAACCATCAGAATAAGATTTTCCACAGCTGAAGACCTTTATGGTCTATGAAGACCTCAAATAAGTACAAAACCCTGAAAAAAGGCAGAGGTGCTCTTTAGCTAAAATAAATAAAGACTAATTTCATTGTCTCGAGAAATGCCTTTTTTTTTTTTATTATTTTGTGTGCGTGTACCATCAAATCAGATCTGACTGGTACAGGAGGATATTGCGCCTCCTTCTCCGGCAGAGCATCTGGTGGATTCGAACCGTGGTCCTCTGGGATTGCAGTGCAGCTTCTTGCCACTAGGCCATCAGAGCTCCCCCAGAGAAATGCTTTTTTATGATTGTTGGTTGGTTTTGGCATCTGTTTGGGTTTGCTTTTACATTGTTTTGGGGTTGTTTTTGCCATTTTCACGATGCTCAGTGACCCTGTGAAGCTGCATGAGTGGTTGAAGAGATTGTGAAGACATATCTTCTTGGAGTTTGAAAAACACCCAATCAAAAACACCCACTCAACCAGGAGCAACTACTTTGATTCAGACTAATTTGATGAAACTCCTACCAGCAGTGAATACCCTCAGGTGTCTGCATTTCAAAGGCACACTTGTATATCCTGGATTAAGGTCATAATCTTAATCTGATTGACAGAAGGTGCCAGTGGCAATTGACTGATGCTGATATTTTTGTTACTAGTTTCTGCTAGGAGTACTGTCTATACTGTACTACAAACTGTTTTAAAAGGACAGAAGTTCTCTCACAGTTCTGGAGGGTGGAAGTCCCAAATCAAGGTGTCAGCTGGGCATGGACTCTTGTGGTGCCCTCTGGCGTTCCTTGGTTTGCAGGCAATTACGTCTAGGCTCTGCCTCTAGTCTCACTTGTCCATCTTCCCTCTGCAGCTCTGTGTGTCTGTCAGCGTCTATTCTCTGTATGGAAGGGCACCACTCATACTGGGTTAGAGCCCCTCCCACACCAGTACGCTCTACAAAAGCTGTTTCTAAATTAAGTGTAAGTCACAGGGACCAAGGCTTAGGAATTTTGTATGTCAGGCTTGGAGGAAGACACAAAGCAAACCATAATAATATCCCCAGGAGTGCTGTAGTTAACAAAGCTGAGTAGATTTTAGTGCTCAGCCCCCTACCCAGGTTTTCTCTTGAATGGTGTCATTTTCAGTGTGACTTTACAGAACATAAGTTTTTAAAGTTACATTTCTGTAATTAAGTAAAATCTACAGATATATTTTTTCATATTTAAATGCATATTCTATAAATTCCCAGTAAGAGAGAGTTAAGAAGATGTAGCTTCTTGATGATTGTAATACACATGTTAAAACAATTAGCATGGGAAATTTCCTCAGAAACAGGCATAGGAAGTAACATGCACTGGATTATAACTAAAAAATGCTCCATATCTCTGGCCTGTAATACAGGTAGGATGGTGGGGTTGTAGGTAAAGTCACATAAGAAAAGTTAACCTTGTAAAGTTGTTACAATAGCAGTAAGTCATTTTAAACTAAATTTCATTTTTATTTTAGAGTTCCTGGAAAACTCAAGCAGTTCATCTTTGACTTACATTCTGGAAAATTGCACAGAGAATTCCATCATGGGCCTGACCCAACCGATACTGCCCCCGGACAGGTAAGACTCTTACCTGATTGTCAGTGGAACTCGTTACTGGTTTTGGGGGTTTTGAGATCTGTCTGCTTCTACACACGGAGGATATTGTCCATCTTTCTATCTGGGAGCTGCTAGTGAATTCGAAATGCCAGCGACCAGCCTGTGGGTTATCGCTGCTACACTACCACAAACAGAGTAGAAATTGGAAGCAGATAGATCATTGGAGTCATAGTAGAAGCGATGACTTGTTCATGCTTTCTTTCTGTTGTAGCTTGAAAAGTATGTATAATGTCAGTGAGCTCAGTTTTGTCAGAGATGGTGAAGATGGCGCAGGACAGGACAGGGTTTAGATCTCTTGTTCATAGGGTAACTATGAATCGTATCAACTTGACAACATTGGATGACAACAGTTTTTCCCAAAGGACCTTCATAAAGAAAAACTGACTTAATTTTTCTTTGCATAAAATTATGTTCTCAGTCAAGAGGTTACTTTTGCCTTTGATAATTAAGCAGCTGTGGAAGCAGACAGATCTCAAAACCCAAAGGTGATTTTTTTTCCTCCTCAGAAAAGACTTGTGTAATAGATTAGTAAAAGCACTTTGTGTGTTTTATCATTATTTGTATTTATTGGTCCATTATACAGTGTTACACAATGAACTTATGTTTTATTTATTTATCTTTATGATAATTTTATTTATCTTTATGATAATGTTATTTCTGTTTAATCTAAACGTCTATTTCACCAAGTACATATGCATATATTAGGAAGAGGGAACATGGCAGAGTTCCTATTGGAATTGGAAGTATCTCTTCACATAAAGTGTGTAGTATATGAACTGTGTGCCTGTGACAGCTATTCAACCTCATTGCTTAGAGTCAGGACTGACTCATAGCTGACCCTGTTGTGGACACTCAGAGGCTGTAGATCACACAGGAGGAGAGTGCCCAGCTTTCTCCCACAGAGCCACTGGTGGATTCGAACCGCCAGAAATAACATTACAGCTCCTTATATAACCATCGCCGCGTGTGTCCTGAGCCCCCAGTATGGACAAAAAGAATGGGCTGCCTTGTCTGTAAGATTCTGAGAGTCACTCTCAGAGTTTCACTGTTTATTTTTTGTCTACTGTTAGTACATAAGAAAAATACTGTAAATTACTTTTTTACAGATACAAAGTAATTTTTTCCTTCTAGCAGGATAGATGTATTCTGTTTCAACTAAGTTTTAATAATTTCTGGATCAAGTAATTGATAAAGTAAGAACTATGTATGCTGAGGAAATTCTTTTAATTTTCATACTGACATTTATAAGTAAATAGCTGGGCCCTCTAAAGAATATTATAAGAAAGCACCAGATATCAGCAAACTTCAGCAGGTTCATAGTTAATATATCAAAGTTTCTGTAGTGGCCATGCCCCAAAGAATAGGAACAGGGGCATTTGAAATGAGGAAAACAAGATTTAAAACTTAACTCTTGTCTTCGGTACAACAGGAGCTGTATTTTCTTGATAAATCAGCAAATCTGTAGTGCCCCTACTACATTACAATATAAAGTATATTGATAGGAAACTATTAATATTCTTTCTTTTGTAGGAATCGCATGACGTAGCAAGCAGTCCACCTGAGAGCTCCTTCCAGAAACTAGCACCCAGCGAATATAGGTATACTTTATTGAGGGATCGAGATGAGCTTTAAAGACTTGAAAAAACAATTTGCAAGCCTTTCAGACAGCAGCATCAACTTAATGTGGTGGAAATAGTAAACCTATATTTTCATAATTCTGTGTATTTTTATTTTGAATAAACTGAAAGAAGTTTTGGGTTTTATTTTTTTTCTCCCCCTAACTAAAAATGCATTGTCATTTAATATAGCCTCTTTTTAAAATCTGGTAGGAGGACTTTAAAAAAAATAAATAAAAAACCAGAGGCCTATCTTTGCTTTAAATTTGTCCTGTAAAACTTTTATAAATCAATTGAACGGTTCCATTGCCAGAGACATGCCATGAGCTTGCACTATTAGACTAGGGAGGCCTTGAGCGCTTCCTGTGTAGGATGTGCTTTTCCGTTCATAAAATCAGTTCTGTTGGCATTTTTAACGTTACATTTCTCAAAGCTAAGGGGGTATATATTCTGGATACTTGGAAGGGGAATAAATTAAAATTTTCACACTGTGTACTGTGTTTTACTGATTGGTTAGATATTGCTTCTGAAAATTCCATAGTGGTGTGGGGTGGTTTTTATTTTTTGGTTTTTGGTTTTTTGTTTTTTTTGGTTTTTTTTAACTCTTAATGTGTAACTTAAACATACCATGAAGAGGAGGAGAGCCATAAGCTAGAACATTTGGCAGAAATTGTCCTTGTGAATTAAAAAAGAAGAAAATGAAAAGTTATTAAATTTCTGTGTCTTAAAAAAGTGGCGTATGGATGGCATTTAGAACCTCACATGGATTATACCTCAGTCTGGGAAGGAGTTGCCAGCGTTGAACTAGATGACTTTTAAGGCTCCTCCAAACCATGAGGCTTCAATTTCCAAGCAAGAAAAACCAGCAGAAAGTGTATCTCTACCTTCTTCTTCTTGTAAAGTCTTATGGCAGCTGTGTAGACAGTAGGGATAATAAGCTTTTTCATTTTATTTCCATTGTAAAAGTGCCAGAGGACCCCACCGCTCCTAGATTCCCTGGCTTCCCAGCCCTGCAATGGTCCAGTCAGATGGGTCCCTGTTCTGGGCTGCCAGGGACTAACTAGATAGAGGGGTGCCTCCCTGTTGTATGAGGAAGCCCAATGCCAGAGGACAAGCAGGTTCTAAATGGACTCTCCTCTGGGCCTGGGTTGGTGCTATAGGTCAAGTGTCATTTTATATTTGGGGTACAGGTCACTCCCCATTTGGGGAAAGACTATTTTTAAGCTTAAAAGGCTGACATGTGCCATTTTATGTAGTATGTAATATATGTAACATCTTCTGATTCTTTTAAAATAAAATGGAATGTTTATAATGGATATTTAATTATTGTCATTTTTAGAGAAAGCCTAGAATCCTTAATTATGCATGATTACCCATAGTTTTGCTCAGAAAAATGAATATTGTTAGTAAGACGGTAAGGGGCATGCTTAATATATTTTACCAGATTGTGAACTAGAAAAGCAGGACAGAGTTCCCTACAGGTTGATCTTCAGTCCTGTTCTCCTCATGTCTTCTGGTCAGCAGCTTGTATGAAATCATAAGTGTTCAGGTCAGTGTATGGATTAATCTAAAGGGCTCAGAATGAAAATTCATAAACCTTGAACAACTCGCCCACATGACCAAAAGCAGCACGTACAGTTAGAGTAACATTTAATCCCATAGTTAAAAATCATAATAAAAGTTAGAAATAGTACTGAATTACAGAGACACTGTCTGAGAAAAATTGTTATGTGAAGGGTCTCAAAGAGTGCCTGTGATTTAAGATAATTGGACTGCTTCTTAAAAGCAAATAAATGTATTTGAACATGCATTCTTTAGGTTTCATGCGCTTCAGGACTTGGGCTGTGACCCTACCACTGTCACTGTTAAGACTGTGAAGCCCATGAGGGCAAGAGAACTGCCCCTGAAGTCTGCATCACCAGTGCCTGGCACTTCTGGGCACTTAAATCTTCATCATGAAATGCTTGTTGAATGAAGGAGAAGCCATGTGACCGTAGGTAATCATTGTACCCCTCATTAGCCCAACTCCTCAACAGGACTTGGCCTCTGTTTCATAAAAGGTCATTAACAAGCTCAAGTACATTCCATGAAAAGACACTTGCATAATAGGAGGTTTTCAAACTTAAATGTTAAGGTGGTTTTGTCCAGAGAAGATTCCAGCTGAAAACCATCTTTATGTATCTGAAAACTACCATTGTCGGGACCCCAGGCATGAGGCCCTAGGCTTGAACGGAAGGCATGAGGTTGATTTCAGTTTGTCATTTATCCAGTTTGTTGCAATAGTGTTTGATAAAGAATACTAAGACAAGTAAAGACCAAGTCCTGCCCTAGAGTTACGTACCATGTCATTGGGAGACAGATAATAGAAACAAATGAGCATGAAAATATTTTGATTATGAAGGTTGATGAAAAATAATGGTGCAGTCAGTCTCACCCAGTTCAAGAGGAAGAGGTATATTTTTCAGGAGGATGTGGTCTGTGTGGAGGGAAGACTCTGAGCAGAGTTCTGAAGCTGCATAATGCATTTATGGAAAGCAAACAATTCTTGTAGTAAGGTTACTGCATGAAGGGAGGCCCGGGACTAGGAAATTGAGTCGTGTTTGGAGAAAGAACTGGAGGCTGGTCATGAAGGATCTAGTATGCCAAGCTAAGAGATCTGTAAAGATCCACCAGCAGATTTTAAGTAGTAACATATGTACACAGTTAATTTTTAGTGGAAATGCTGTGGAAGCAGGTTAATCTAGCAGAGATGCAATGTCCAGAACTAAGTCAGTGACAGCAGGAATAAAGAGGGGCCTCCAAGAGATGACAAAGTGACAAAGATGGAGTCCATGGGAATTTGCCACCAGTAGGAAGAGAAATCTGCATTAATTCAGTGGCAACCCGTGCTCCCGATGCTTACCAGCTCGAGCACTAGCCAACAGGTTGGCAATTGAGACTTTCCCAGGGGCATCCTGAAATAGAGGCCTGCCTGTTCCAGAAAGGCCACAGCCTTGAAAAGCCCTTGGCGTATGGTGCACACAGAAGGTTGAAATGAGTTGGAATTGATGGCAACTAGAAACACTGCCCACCACCCAGATTAAAGGACTTTCACCCCTGCATCTTGAGGCAGAGACACAGAAAGACAGGTGGAATCCTGTAGTTCACTTGTTTGGGGCCTCCAGCTTGCTAGCTGAGAAGAGGTCACAGTCACAAGTTAGGAACCAGCCCTCTGCGGCTCAGCTCACTGCCTTTTCCACTTTTAGAAAAAATGGACCAATTTCATCAGGGGACCCTATGAGGATGGATACTCACTTTGAAATTCTGAAAAACGCATAAAATCACTGAAATGGAGAAAAGTTAAAATGAGAATCTCAAGCTTATAACACAGCTGCCCACAGAGCCTGCGGATGAAGGCAGAAGCCAAAAATGAGACAAAAGAAGCGAAAACGAGCCTGAAAGAGGCCAAAAAAGAGGACAGTGAAATACAGAACTATGTCTAAAGTGTTAACACTCAGAGTGAAGGTAAAATGCAGAAACTGTTGAAAGGGCAGAAAAACCTCCAATAAACTCAACCTGGATTTTTTTTTAAGGTTTCGTTATAACTTGAGTCAGCTCAAAATAATGAATGAAAGTTTTTAATGGATTAGCAATCAGAAAAAGCAAGATGAGTCCATTTTTCTTTTATCTCTGATAAGGAAAGATAATCCAGCTGAGAAAAAAAAATGGCATAAACAGAATTACAAAATGAGAGGTGACACAAATCTTGCCACTTGAAATGATTTAAAGATGAAAACCCAGATTTTTCTATCCCAGAGAGCTGCCCAATGTGGCAGATGCCTTCCGTTAACAACTGCTGGGAACTTTTGTGAAATTATGGAGAAAGTAAAATAGCATAGCTTAGAAATAGGCAAATAATTTTCCAGTTTTGAAAGATAATTCTAGTTAATAGCTTTAGCTCTTTTTCTATAGTAAAACTTGGGAACCAGACTGAAATGTCAGTAGTTGATATTTGGGGGAAAGTAGGCATAAACAACAAAAAAAAATTACCAATTTTCAAATTCAGTATTGAAAGTTCCTGAAGACTGTAATTTGTTTCTGAATTTAAATTGTTTTGTGCTGATTATAATTGTTTTATGTGTCCATTGGAGTTGGATAGGGCCTCTGCTTGGCAACTGTTTTTAGCTGTGTTTTAATTTTTGTATGTATTTCCACATAATAAAATTATATTTATAAAATATTTCTATATTTGAGACTCTTTACTGATTCACTTTGTCATGAATAATTTGAATTATGAACCCTTTACGCAGAGTCCAGAGTCACAAACTTTTCCAGATTTATAGTCATTGAATTTGAATATGAATGGTGAACTATAGGGAGCCATCAGTGGTAACTAGTTCCCAGTCTGCATCATCATGCCCTGTGGAAGATTTTTGGGAGCCTTTGTAAAGGGAAAACTGCAGCTCACAAATGACTCTAAAATGCCCCTTCTCCGCTCATCTGGTAAATTCCTCCTATTTCTCTTTCAGTGTCTAGGATAATCCTATCCCCTGTGGTACCACAATATTTTCTTATGTGTCAGAGTTGATGTTATGTGCTGTTGAGCCACGTGTGACTCATAGCCACCCTGTGTACACTAGCTCTGAACTCTGCTCTATCCTGAGCCGATCTCACCACCTACCCCCATTACCCCAGTCACTTGAGTCAATCCATCTCATCTAGAGTCTTCCTCACTTGCACTGTCCCTCCACCCTCCCAAGCATGATGTCCTTCTCCAAGGACTGGGCCCTTCTGACAACATATCCAACGTATGTATATGAGACAGAGCTTCCAAATCCTTGCCTCCAAGGAGCAACTTGGTCCTCAGCCTTAATTCTAAGTCGGAAGGACTTGTATCCCTTTTTGTTTTCTTCTGAATGCTCCCAAAGCAGGCACTTCACCCTAGACCCAGCTCATTCAAGCAGTCAGTCCATGGTGGGGCGAGGGGCAACCAAACAAAGGGGAAAATGAGTGAATGAAACACAGGAAAGAATCACTGTAACTGGAACAGACTACTTATCTGCCAGTCTTAATTATCTGATAACAATGTCTGCCAATGTGGGTCTTGTTGAATCTTGTCACCTTCAGTCCTAAATTGACTTTCAAATCTATGAATCTGT